GGTGCGGGGGGATGACACAGCACTACACCGTGTCCAGCAGCGGGGGGGGGTGGCAGGAAGACTGCGGGTGCACCCCATGGGGGACAGCCGGGGTCCACAGGGCCAGCAGAACACCCTGGGCCCGCCGGAGAGAGCGGAGCAGCCACCTGCTTCCTCCGTGTTTGCTGCTTGGCGAGGGACAGCCACGGTCTGCTTCGCCTCAGCGTGGAGAGACAGCTCTGGGGAAAGCTGTGGGGAGGTGGGATTTGCAGAGCGGGGATGGGCCTGGGGTTGGTATTGGCTGCTATTCTGGACCGACATGGTGCTGTAACCCCATCTCTGTGCTCCTCAGTACCGCCGTGCCCTTCGCCCCGGTCACCAGAGTAGTCTGAGTCATCAGGAAATCTGATAAGGCTCAATAAAACCACTGGAGTGGCGTGGGGGGGTTGCTGCGCACCCTGCGACTGGGCTCAGCCGCCCTGATTTCTTGGCTCTGCTACTAACTTCCTGAGTGTCACGTGTGTGTGATTGGAGCGATTAAAAACAGCGGGAGTTTTGAACTGATGTATTAGCTAAACTTGAGGGGCAGATGAGCCTTTTGGTAAAGGTGCAGTCCCTAATCCTCGGGGGCACTCGGTGTGGGGAAGGCATGGGCCCTTGACACGATTCATGGCTGCTAAAACTCGAGCTTTGAAGGTTACACTTGCTGGTTGGCATCGCTTACGTTCTTGTTTTGAGATGGATCAACTCCCAAAGCGCTGGCAGTCGGATGTGCCTGGGGAAGGCTGCAGGGAACGCAGCTCTTCACCTTCCTGGCAGACAGGAGGGGAGTACTGCAGCCTTGCTGCAGCTCCTTGGTGGAAATCATCAACAATCGTGACCCATCAATTAAAGTGAATCATTAGCCTGAGCAGGAACCAGCTAGGTGTGTCAATTCCTCTCTTCCGCTTGGTTATGTTCTCAATAGTCAAATTAATCTGTTTTAGCAATTAAGCAAGAAATCCTGAGCGTTTCTCATTTTGAAAGGGCTTAGTCATATCTGTGTGAGAAGCCTTATCCTAGATGACAGCAGTTTGTACGCATTTGGGTTGAAGCAGGACCGTGCGCCGGCAGCATGCAGACAACTAGAGACTTGTTCAGGAGAAAACACTGGGGCTGGTTTTCTTTCAGAAACAGTTCCTTGAAGCTAAAACTGGTACAATTTTCCCATGAAATAACTGGGTCAGATTTTTCCACTTCCTCGTGCTTGGATCAATTGGCAGCTGTGGTGGGTAGGTCTGGACTGGCTAGTACCTGGCTACTGTACCTTTGCCAGTGGGAGAAGCAGCATCAAATTAGCTTCTTGCTACTTTGGTAGCGTACGTTCCCAACCTGCTTGGCTGAATGATACTGGCTGGACAAGGGCCTTTCAACTGACTGAACTCTGCAAAGGATTTTGGTCAGTGTAAATTCTTGTCAAAGTGGAAAGATATTCCTGCTTCCTCCAGATCAGGAGACGGAGACCTGGAGACGTCCAATTAAATCTGCGTTCCCAAGTTAATCCATCAGCACTGGAGCGCTCTGACAGTGGCAAATGTCCCCATCAGGGCCTTGGGGCTTTAGCTGCCTTGGGGCTTTTATCAGTTATTTGCGTCTCCTGTGTTAGGAGAGTAGTCCAGTCTCCTCCAGCTTTTCATGGCCCAGCCGAGATGCTCGACGTGATTCTTGGAACTTGCACCATCCTTGCACCAGCAGGGAGCGTAATTAGGATTAAGCTTCTTAGTCTGCAAAGAGAGAGCAATACAACCACATGAACAGGCAGAGGGAGCTTTAAAAATGTCCCATCAAGCAAATTACATAAGTTATAATACACCAGAGCTTATCCTGCTGTATCTTGGAGAGCAAAATCAGACGCTGTGTATATACCTACGTTCATAACTGTCTTCCTTGGGCACTGGAAATACTTCACACCTCCTGCCTTTGAGCAGCAGCACAGCTGGGCACCTTCTCTGACCCAGACACCAGCGTTACCGCTGCTCCTCCAGCCCATGAGAGAGCACGGAGCTTCATAACCCAGCACACGCTAATACAGTACCCAGCAAATGCCCAGAGTTGTGTTCACACATAAATCATGCAGAATTCAGCCCTCATATTGAGAGAATCTCCCGCTAAGCTTTGCTATTCTGTAGTAGCTTTGATCAGAGGGGTCTAAATATTTTTCTGCAGATGTTAATCATCAAAAGGCGAACATCGTTTACAGTGCACGAACCTGTGTACGTGTGTTGTGACTTCCTAGCTATGGCCTGGGGTGTAAAATTTAACTTTCTCATGAGTTTTCTAAAGTTGGTGGAGTTTTTTTTTACACTGGATTTTTTTTTTGTTTGTGTGTGCATGCAGCATAGATTGAGGACAGAATAGGAGACCGGTATTTACTGAAAGCATTAAAAAATGCCTTCTGTATGACTTAAATTGTTTTCCCCTCAAAAGTTGTGAGAACAGCAAGTCCACCTCTCAGGCAGTTCTATTCCTTGTACCTTTCTTTGGACTGAAAGCCCCGCAGCTCTGTTTCACGAGGATACTCTCCAAGGTGGTGTTTATACTGCAGGAGGTCAGGCGCTGGCAGGAGAACGTCTTGTTTACTTTCCCCAAGGTGCCTCCAGTTCCCTTTGAGACTGCAGCGGGAAACTTCAGCTCTGACAGTCAGAACCAGCAAGTACCCCCTTGGCTTCAGCCGCTGTTATGTCTCTCTGTCACCAGCTCGGAAAAAAATCAAGATCCTGTGCCCCAATTTTCTCTCTTCGTCAGCAAGTAAAACTTACATGTCAAGGGCATCTGAAGCTTGCCTGATTTCTGTGTAGAGCTTTAGATCCCCATGAGGACGGCATCTGAGAAAAGAAGATAAAACCCTGTTGTAAGAATGATAGTGATGTATCCCAATTATTATTTGTTTAATTAAAAGAGTCTGGACCGATGCAGAGGCAACAATTAAGAATTATCTTCCATCAAGAACTTTGACAACAGCTGAATAAGTTAATGGGTTCTGAGATGAAGACAAATCATTACAGCTAATGGTTAGTCTGTCGTTTATGAGTCTGGAGGTGTATGGCGGGAGTCCTCACACTTCCATGTAATGTCTGATTTAAGGGGCTTTTGCCCCCTTAACACAGAACAGGCAAGTAGCAATTTTCTTCTGTTGTGCAGCTGGTATTATCTAGGAGCCATAGAATTAAGTTCTAAATGAAAATTTAAACTATTCATTACACATTATTAATAGACTTCAGCATGTTTAATAATAAAGCGGAAATAAATTATAGAGAGATAAATTCATAACTTTTGATTTATTTTACACACCCCACTTTTTGGGAGGGTGCATTGAGATAATTAGGACTAGTGGAGATGCCAACCTTTCCCTCGCTCCAAGGTCTGGTGGCAGTGTCCCCAGGGCCAGCGGTGGCTGGAAGGACAAGGCGAAGGGAAGGTTTTTGCTAACACTGCCACCCCCTGGCTCTTTCCACAGTTACTTTTTTCCCCTAAGAAAGCTTAACTTCGTGCTGCCTGGGTGAGCTGTGCACTTCACTTGTACGAATTGCTGGTGGAAAGACCAAACGCTGGCGGGCAGGGATGAGATTTTCTGCCGGGTCTTGGTCACAACCCACAGCCTGTGGGGAGTTCACACCATGACCTGACTGCGGAGGCACAGGCCTGGTGGCTTACCCTGTGGCAAGGCGAGCTGTGTGGGATGGCTGCCGGCCGCAGCACGGGGTGAATCGCAGGGCCATGGGAAGGGGATCGTGCGGCCCAAGCCCCCCAGCCAGGCCGTGTTTAAGGGCCGGTGCGTGAGGCAGCTGAGGCCCAGGCCCTGCTGCGGCCTGCGAGCTGAGGGCATCCAGGCCCAGCGAGAGCTGGCTTTAAGCAGCCCCCGGGTTTGGTGAAGGGGGAAGGAAGAAGGGGAGCGGCGGAAAGGCCTGGCGGG